ACTAGTGAGATATATTTTCCCTCATGGATTTATAAGCAAATTGAGAAAGCAGAAGAATTGAATCTTGACAGAGTCGTCAATGATGATGAAGAAGAAGAAATGATAAGGAAGATGGTAATAGTGAGCCTTTGGTGCATCCAAACAATTCCATCAAATAGGCCATCAATGACAAAGGTTCTTGAGATGTTACAAGGAAGCCTTGAAGCTTTGCCACTTCCTCCAGAACCCTTGTTGTCTTCTCCAGGACCTGCAGTAAGATCACCAAAAAATTCCTCCACCACATCATCAGTCACAATGCAGGTTAGACTATACTCGGCAATTATATCCAACTATCTGAAACTATTTATATGATTTAGCCCCATGCATCAAAATATTTTGGATGAACAATTTGTCTTCAATTTCCTTACTGATTTAGACCATACTCCACGGCTATCTGCAACTATCCTCAACTATTTATATGATTTAACCCTATGCATCACAATGTTATTGGATGAACAACTGTCGTCAATTTCCTTGCTGAATGCATCACGTATTGCAGGTGGTTTCTGAGCACCTTTGAGATAGTTTCACTACTTATTCTTACTGATTTCCAAACATGAAGACCATATATTCCGAGGTACAGTGAATTTATGTGGAAGGAAGCCACAACAGCAAAACTGCAGGAATCCATTTTTTTGTTGAAGAAGGTTGCAGCAATATGAAGGGTCAGATGAATAGAGCACTACTGCTGCCCTTATATAGGTTTAAATTAATTGTAATTTGTTTAGTATTTTGGTTATTCTAAGTTTTAGTTTACTTGTTGTAAAGTCTTTGACATGATGTAAGCAAATTGGTGCTGGAGATGTCACATGGAATTCGAAGCCTTGATGCTTTGTCTGTCCCACCGAAACCTTAAAACTCCTACACCGCTGTATCAAATTGTTGAAATTAATCTTGTTTGGTTTGGTGAATGCTAAACTGTTCATCTTTAGTAATTTTGATTATATGCAGTGGAAATTTTAAATAACCAAATAAGTCCGTGTAAATTTTGATTAAATGAATAATAACTGGATGGTAATTTAGTTAGCAAGGGTTTGCTACTCCCTTTATTGATTGGGTTCATTTTCTTCTGAGAGGTCATTTATGAATCCGCTAATCTGAGTGTAGTGTGTAGATGGTTTTTCTTTTTCTTTTTCTTTTTTAAAGAAGGGAAGATAGTGTGTGTATGTGTAGATGGTTGACCTTTCACTATTACCCAGCTTTTAATTTCTCGTAAGAGTTCCTGCAGCTTCGGTTGATGCAGAGTAGTTCTACGAATTGCCAATTAAAACTTGCTGTCTTTGTTCTGGTCCACATGTCAGAAGAGTTCTTTCCAAAAGTAAATTGGTACAAAAAGATAACAAGCTAAAGACTTCTAAGTCAACCAAAATGCATAGCATTCTTTTCTCATCAAATTTCTTTTGAATTAGACTCGATTCATTATGGCACTCCTCGAAATTCACCCATTAATCCCTTCAGCTCCACCACCCCACCTCTTCAGGAATATGAACTACTTCCTCCTTTTTGTTTTACTCTTGGTTATCTCTGAGTATCCCTTGTCATCAAGCACTCCTGATTTGTTATACAGAAGCTGTAGTAATCAGTTCAGGTGTGGGAAAATTGTTGCAGATTTTCCATTCTGGGGAGGGGAGCAAAGACCGCATTATTGTGGCTATCCAGGGCTTGAACTCCAGTGTGAGAATGATACTGCTTTTATAAAAATTGATGGGGTTCGATATCGAGTTCTGGAAATTGATCCGCTGTACAACCCCAAAAAAATGAGGATTGCAAGGGAGGACTATGAGGGTGGACTCTGTCCCCAGAGTATCCAGAACACAACCCTGGATGCTACTCTCTTCGCCAGTACTCCGGAATATATAAATTTTACATTACTCTATGGCTGCCCGAGTTTCATTCCAATTCCATTGCCCTTTGTAAACTTCAGCTGCAGTAATGGTGTCAATTCTAGCAATGGAATCATCGTACCAGGAGTTTTTGGTCCTACAGATTGTTTTGCTAGCGCCACTGTGCTGGTTCCTATACCTGCCTCCATGGGAAAGGGGATCGAAGTCATCGAACAAGCCTTAAAAA